TTTTGAGATCAAGGCTTGCTCTTCCTCCTTGAGTCCTCACAGGTCTGTTGAATATACTGGTGAGAGTTCCTGAATACAGGGAAAGGCTTGGAACCAGCTTGAGAGCTGGAGACTGATTTAGAAATGGCCTGGAGGCATGCATAGTGCCTGTTTTCTCTTCTGTAGCAACTGGGAGAGGCTAAATGTTCAAGATTTTAAATGAATTTGGGTGATTTTCTCTTACACAGAGGTGCAGTGCACTGAGAGGATAAAGGGTGGAGATGTGTACCCTTGGCTGATACTGCTAACAGATACCCTCTTGAGGACTTCCTCCTGTCACTGAGGTCTCAGTTCAGTTGTCACCACTTCAGCAAGGTCACCCAGTTCTGAATCATGGGAGACCTTCCTGCATTGCTTCCTGTTGTTGCTCTGTTGCAAAAGTTCATCTTTGAGGCATAATTTAAATATAGCAAAATGAGCCCTTTTGAAGTTTGGAGAGGCCTGATAAATTTGTACACCTGTAGTCACCACTGTAGTTATGGCATAGGATGCATCATGGCCCTCAGAAGCCCTCTGACTTTTCCAGGCAGCCCAATTCTGCATCCCTTCCCAGGAGGGTGCCAGGCTGCTTTCTTTCTTTTTCTTTTTTGGTTTTTTGAGACAGGGTCTCACTATGTAGTTGAGACTGACCTGAAACTCACTATGTAGCCCAGGCTGTTCTCAAACTCACAGCGATCCTCCTGCCTCAGCCTCCCGAGTGCTGGGATTTTAGGCATGCGCCATCACGCTGGCCAGGCTGCTTTCTTATATCTGCAGATGGAACTCCATCCCTAGGGTTCCAGGTAAAGCAAATAACACAGTATGTTCTGTTTCTGGCTTCTTTTACCCAGCTAATAATGCTTTCGAATTGGATGTGTCAGGGCTCATTCCTTTTTACTGCTGGGTAGCATTCTAGTGTAAGGATTCAATGCAGTTTATCCTCTTTCCTATTGATGGAAATTTGAGTTGTTTCTAGTTTTTGGCTATTACAGAAAACCTGCTATGAACACTTGGATATATATTCACAGATGTTTTGTTTCTCTTGGGTAAATACCTAGAAGTGCAATTGCTTTCTTAAATGGTAAGTGTATGGTTAATTTTATAAAATTATTCAGCTTTTTCCAGAATGGTTAGGTCAGTTATAATAACACCACCAATGTACAAGAGTTCCATTTGTTCACTACCTAACCCAGGCTCAGTGTGTAGTAGATTTCACTTGCTATAATCCTGATTCCTAATATCATTGACTATCTTCTTGTGTACTTGTTGCCCATCCGTATGTTTTTTTTTTTTTGGTAAATTGTCTGAATCTTTTGCCCATTTTTTAAATCTGTTTATCTTATTGTGTTATAAGACATGTATGCTGGCAGCAAACCTTTTGTTAGATGTATGTATTACAGGTATTTTTTCCTTAAGAATATGGCTTCATTTTCTTAATCATATCTTTTGAAGAAAAAACATGTTTATGTTATGATGTTGTTTTCTTTTATGGTTCATTCTTTTTATGTACTAAAAACTGTTGCCTGCCATGAGGGTTTTAAAACAATTTTTAGAGATTCTGTATAGTTTTAGCTCTTAATGTTTAAATCCATGATCCATTCTGAGTTAACTTTTACAGAAAGTGAAGTTACAAGCAAATGGTTTTCTAGTATAAGGGTATCAGTTATTCCAGTGTCATTTGTTGAAGCAGTTTACTCTTTCCCTGTTGAAAAGTTACCTGGGTAACTTTGACCCTGTGTGCTTAGTGCTGTTTCTTTTCTTTTTTTTTTTTTATAGACAGGGTTTTACTATGTAGTTCAGGCTGGACTTGAACTTCTGGCATTCCTCCTGCCTCAGCCTCCCAAGTGCTGGAATTACAGGCATGCATCAGCATGCCTGGCTGTTTCTTTTTTGATTTATGAATAAATGAAAAAAGTGAATTGTATGTTATGCCTTTGAAAGCAACTGAAGATCATACAGTGCTTCTGAAATATAACAGTGAACATTTATTCTTACACTCTGGATAAATTCTATTTTACTTAAAAAACTAATTCCAGTGACATTACAAGAAAATGCAAATATTGACCCTACACTGGATCCTGGATTGGGAAAAAAGCTATAAAAGTATTAATAGATCAAGTGACAAGATTGGAATAGGAGCAGAGGTTAAAGTTTTATACTAATGTAACTTTATGATGTTGACAGTTGTATTGTGATTATATAAGAGAATATTCCTGTTTTTAGTAAATACACACTAACGGAATAAGGGGCTGTGATGTATACAATTTTCTTTCAGATAATTAAAAAGTCTTTTGGGGGAAGGGGAACACAGCTGATGAAGCAAATAAAAACATATAGGTTAGTGTAGATTATTCTGAAGTAAAGGGCTTGTTGCTTATGCTAAGGTCAATATTATTACAGAATAAAAAGTTTAAAAATGTTTTAAAAATTGTTCCATCAGAATGTTGGCTGAATATTTGTCTTTTCCATAAAAGTAGAATTTAAAAGTTAAAATAGCTGTTAATGATGAGTTTTTAAAAAAGATGAGTAGGAAGTTTTTAGCGCTTGGGACTGAACCCATGGCCTTGCGTGCTAGCCAAGTGCTTCAGCACTGAGCTACATCTCCAGTCCATGAATAGAAATTTATTTGAAAAATAAATGGCCATTCTAGATGTAATGTATCATTTAGGATATGTATTGTGATGAGTCACACATTCTGTGTCTCTGAAAGCCAGCGCTAGATTCTGCTGGGTTAGCTGATCTATTTGAAGTCTCTCACGATACATTTTATCTCCGGTCTTTTTGGGTGTAAGGTGAACGTGATAACTGCTACACTACGGAAACCCACTCTCCGGTCTTCTTGGATACCTAGGTTTGATTGACAAGATTTAAAATTACTCAGCACCATCTGCATGCAAACCTCTGTCCATTTCTGAGGTCGGGGAGGATGGAGTCACAGTTACGTGCAAGTGGTGCTCTATGGATCTAATATGGATCCAATTGTGTTTTAAGTCCTGCTTTGTTTTTGACCTTTTTTTTTTTTTTTTTTTTTTTTTTTTATTACAAAGTTAACAAAAAAGCTTGCAATGCCACCAGAGACAGATGATCCACTTTTAGGATAGAAATTGGTGAAGATTTAGGGGAAATCAGTATAACCAGGTACTGTAAAGAGGTGCCTGGCTGACCTGGTCACCAAGTCTGTTTTGTCCATCCCCGATGTCACTGACGTCTTACACTGGTGACTTAGACCATGTTGTCCGCTTCTCGTGGTCAGAGAGGCTGTCTCGTTCCCTTGCCCTGCTCCGTGAGGACTGTCTTGGCCCCTTGTTATGGTCAGGTGGGCCCTGTTGACTGTTGTCCCCACTTACCACTTTCAGGGTAGTAGTTGACTCAGTTCAGGGATATTTATTTTCTCAGACTCTAGTCATTGCTGCAAAGTTAAACACAGATTTACACTCTTTGTATGTACAAATGGGTCTCATTACATACCACCCCCAAATTAGTGTTTCCATTTTGGAGTTTTTACCATCTCTCGTTCCACATTTCTGACATTTGCTGGGTATCTGCCAAGGTGATCCTGACTCTGGGATGTCAGCTTCTTTGGAACCTTCATGGCAAGGGCTGTCCTGAGCACCAGTGTTCATGCCAGCCTGCTTGTTGGCCTGTAAGGTGTGGTGGGTTTGATAGCTGTGTCTTGGGTGCACTGCCTGTGCTGACCTTGACTGTGCAGTAGCTGTGTACTGTGCTGAGCATTGAATGTTAGGTTTGCAGGGAGGAAGCAGTAATTTCCAGTAGCAGATGGGCTATGTGATAGTGGCTATTTGACCCTTCCCTTGCAAGGTCTCAGATTCTCGTGAGCTGAACTCCTGCTCCTGAGGTACTGTGGCTCTTGAGGGGCCCAGTGTGCAGCTGTCATAGTGTCCTCAAGGGGGCAGGGGAGGGACACGAGGGACAGCTGTGCCTCTACGCAGGGCCCCACCTCCTTCAGAGCCAGTGCCCTGGCTGCTTCTGAGTCCCTGCGGAGCTGTCAGCTTTATGGCAGTTGGCTGGGGAGCACTTGGCCCTTCCACCCAGCACTGGCTGTCATCCCTGGGTGCAGCAGAGGCAGGGTCACTTCCGATTTGTGTCACTAATGATCTGGCCTCCTGGGGATAGGAAAGTGTGCTCTCTTGGTCTGGTTTCTTGGGATACCTGCTTATCCTCACACTTGGTGAGGGCTTTGCTCCTCAGATTGGAACTGGGTGGGAGGGGTGGAGTAGAGTGAAACAAGACCATCTGCCTTTCCTAGGGCCTTTAGGAGAATGACTGAGCTTTTAAAGTATTTTCCTTACAGTTTTCTCAGATGGAATTTTCTGTAACAAAGTTACATTGGGTTGTACTTATTTCATTTTCATTATGCTGAGTGGCAGTACTCTGTAGCCTGAGGAAATAACAGCTGTTATCTTTCTTGGAGAATGTGGCCTTTATCATCATCAGTCAGATTTAAATACCCTTCCCCTTCCTCACCCACTGTGCAGCATCTGAGTAGTGTCTGGCGGAGGCCTGATGCACTAACGGGGAAGGGGCAGGTGACTAGGGTGTGTTCTCTTCCTGGTACCAGGCTCTGAGATGTTTCTAGTGTTGATCGCAAGGCCCCTGTCCTCATGATTAAACCAGAGCCGCCAAAGGTCTGATGTTTGTGATTCCGGCTGAGTCCATTTGTCAGAGTATATGGTTGGCTTTGGCTTTGTGGTCCTCAGCGGTTCTGTGTGGTCCAGAGTGAGCTCCCGGGAGAACAGTGCTTTTGTGTTTTCACTCATAATCAGGAAAAGTTGAGAGCACCAGCTGGTGACACATTGTCATCATAGGAAAAAAGGACAGCCTGTACTTTTTTATAGTGTTAATGTTGCTTCAGGAGTGTCTCTTCCTCAGGGGTCATTCAGGACAGGGGTTCTGCTGGGAGTGGTAACCGGGACACTGGGTGGGTGATTTCATGGGGCTACCCTCTGCTTTGTGTCTTTTAGAATGTCGTTCTTTCAGGAGGCTCCACAATGTTCAGGGATTTTGGACGCCGACTGCAGAGAGATTTAAAAAGAGTGGTGGATGCCAGATTAAAACTCAGTGAAGAACTCAGCGGCGGCCGAATAAAGGTAGGAGACCTGAATTTCTGCCCGGGATTGAGCAGCTTGTTCTTAGCACAGAGTGGAAGGAACTAGTCTGGGCAGCACGCATTAGAAACAAGCCAAACCACTTCCTTGGCCTGTGGTCTCCATCCAGTTGTGTAGTGAGCTATGTACCTATAACAGCCCATGGCCACCGGTAGTTTGCTTTGCATTGTACAACATCAGGCATGCAGTGTCATGACAGGATGCCCGGAGATGGGAGGAGTTGATGGGGGCTCGTTAGTTCCTTTGCACATGTTCTCATTGAATTGAAAGAATGGATCAATAAGGAGTTACAGGGTGCCTCCAACATGACAGCTCCTAACTATGGCTGGTTTTATTTGGGCTTCTAACCGAGACTGCGCTTTTGTAGGGCCAGTGGGAGCAAGGAACAGATCTATAGAACTGGAGTCAGTCAACCATTGGAAAGTAGTTTCTGTTAGTGTTTTGGGGTGACTTTTAGTATTTGGAATTATCTCTGAAGAACTTAAACCGTTTGATTTGGTTGATCAAAAAACTCATTAGATTGGTTGCTTGTAGTCTTTGGCTGTACCACCCTGAAGGCGCCCGATCTCGTCTGATTGGTTGCTTGTACATTCTCTTTGTACACGCTTTAGTGCCTTGGGGAGGCCCTCTGCTGGCCATGTGGCTATTTCCCCACAGCACTGGGTTGGGCCTGCATTTCCGGTTAGTAAGCCTGAGACAGGGGATGTGGAGGTGAGGGCAGGACCCCCTGTCCTGAAGTGGGGGGTGGGTGGGATGGCTAGAGGGCAGGGAGCTGGGTTTTGCCCCTGCAGACCATGGAGTAAACGTGCTTCCTTCTTTCTGCAGCCCAGGCCTGTGGAGGTGCAGGTAATAACGCATCACATGCAACGCTACGCCGTGTGGTTTGGAGGCTCCATGCTGGCCTCAACTGTGAGTCCCTTCCACACTGGTCTGTTCGCATTGCTGCCTTCTCTGTTGAGTGTGGATAAACAGGGTCTGAATCAAGGTTCTCCACACACTTGATTTTGTTACTTATGGAGAAATGTTTAATGATCATTCACATTTCACAGCTAATTCACAAGTGTCCTTGCTAGTCCAGGAATAATCTTAAAAGAACCTTGCTTTAATCATTAATCCTAATGACCTTTCCAAGAAATTATGACTTTTCCCCTTCACATATATTAATGGTTAATCCATTGTTAACTTAGGGCCCACACATACTTGTTTTATTTTAAAATTTTATTTATTTATTTATTTATTTTTTCTGGTACTGGGGATCAAACTTGGGACCTTGCGCTTACAAGGCTGGCATCGGAACCAGTGAGCTAAATCCCAGCCCTATTTTTTTAATTTTTAAAACATTTAAATTTTTGTTAGTGTCTGCTTGCAGTATATAAGTACATTCATTGGCAGGAGTTGGTACATGTGCGTAACACATCTTAATTCTTTCATCCCTTCCCTTCCTTTCATCTTTCTCCCACTCCCTTCGTCTGTTGGTCCCCTTTCCTTTTGCAAATGCTATCTGCCTGTCCTATTATCTTTTATTTTGCTCTTTCATTTATACTTTGGATTTCTCATATAAGAGAAACCACGTATTATTTAAGCTTGTGTGTCTGATTTATTTCACTTAACATTATGGTCTTAAGGTGTATTTTCCTACAAATGACTCACATTTATCCTTTATGGAGAGTTATTCTATGTATACATACCACGTTTTATCTGTTCATTTGTTGATGATGGACATAGGCTGCTTCCAAGATTTAGCTATGATGAGTTATGCTGCTGTAAAATGGCTGTGCATGTATTACTGTAATATGATGTTTTCAACTCTTTCAGGAAGATGGCCCCTAGAGGGGGTCAGCTCATATTTGGCCCTAAATTAATGGAGGCTAAGTGAGTATTGTGCTGAGGATGAATGAACTGACCGTTTTTGTGTTTGAGGAGTGGAGGATTGGATCTAGGATCTCACACATGAAGCAAGCACTCCACCATTGAGCTCCACTTTGAGCCTGCCCTTTTAAAACATGAAATAAACTCTAATGTAGTAGTTTAGTACATAAAAGAGGTCACTGCCTCACAAAGTGGCCTAGAGGAAGGTGCAGTTGTGGATAGGAGTTTTTCATCTGATTAGTTGTTTATTTAACCTTCTTTCCTTTCTGAGATGCTCACATTTTGCTCTCGGCTGTTGCCTGCAGCCGGAGTTCTTTCAGGTCTGTCACACCAAGAAGGACTATGAAGAGTACGGCCCCAGCATCTGCCGCCACAACCCCGTCTTTGGAGTTATGTCTTAGTGTCTCCTGTGGAATTATCACTTGATGGCATCCCTTGGAGCCCGAGCAGAGTGGTCCCATGCGTGTGGGGACAGTGGTGTGGCATCCGGGCGGCGTCCGTGCATCGCCGAGTGCATGAGGCTCTGTGCAGTCCTCCCGGTCAAAGCCATCTATTTATGTTCACCTGTTCCAGCCTGGTCCCCTCCTCTCACCCCATGTCTGCCTCTTCTCTGTCTGAGCTTCTCGTCCACAAATACAGTTCTGAAGGAATTCAAGCGCAACTTGAAATATTAGAGAAAAAAGGGTACAACATCATCCCCCCAGGAAAGATGGAGGTGTAAACCCTGATCCTCCCAGCTTATTTTTGTAAATAAAATGTTATTATCTTGAAATACAAATCGATGTTTATATTTCCTACCATTTTGTATTTTATGGTATTTGGTACAACTGGCTGATACTAAGCACGGATAGATATTGATGTCATGGAGTGCTGTAATAAAGTTTTTAAATTGTGAGGCATGTTATGATATGTTTATAGGCAAACAGTAACATAGCAAACTTTTTTCCATGTTTGCTCGAAAATGAGTGCCCTTTATCAGGGTGACCTGAAGTCTGAACACCAACCAGTGCTATGTAGGAATTGCCACACACAGTGTGGCTGAGTTCTTCTGTGTGAGCTTTCCGCTGTGGCGTGGGGATGTCTAATGGAATACTGCTGCACCATGGTAATAAAAGCTGTCAGAATCTTTCTACTTCTCCTGCTCTAGTGTAGTGCTCTTTTGGTCCCCTGATACTTAAAAAATTATCCACGGATGGTTTAGGACCAGTAGCGCAACTGTGTGAGGGAATATCTTAAATGACACGGACTGTTGTGCAGTGACCACCCCACCTGATGGTGCAGGGCTACCCACGTTAGGAGTGTTTCAGGCTGGGGTTTGTGTGGAGGTCTCTGTCCCTTGGCATTTCCAGTGACCTATGAGCTTGAGGCTCAGGACCTTGAGCTTTCAGTAATTATTTTCACCTCTGTGGGATAAATCTGCTAAATTAAGTAGATTTAGGTTTATTCCATTCATATCACCCTTATGTTAGCTTTTAAACTTATTTATGACTTTCCTTTTCAGTAGTGAGATAGGTTATATTCCAAGAAGACTTATCTTGTAACCATTTGGCTTTAGTGTTTAAATTAAAAAACAAGTTTAGAAGCATTAAACTTAGCAGTCCTCTCTTATCCATAGTTTCACTTCACTACTACCATCGACTGAGGTCTGAAAGCATGAAACAGAAAATTCCAGAAATAAACAACATTCATGTCACTTTTATTATATCATATAATGGTTATTCTATTTTATTATTTTTGTTTTGGTTTCACTATGCCTAATTCATAAATGGAGTTTATTGTAAGGGTGTTAGCTTTTAGTCACTGTGATGCAGTACTCCAGATAGGCTGCTTAGGAAGAAAAGGGATTCATTCAACACACAGCTTTGGAGGTTCCAGGGTGCAGCACTTGCTATGGCTCATTCCTGGAGGGGGTCTCATGGCCTCTCAGATTGCATTTGGGTCACAGTGGGGCCTGGGTGGAGCGGGAACCACAGCGGGCCCAGAAGGCTGCAGCCTCACTTGTCAGTGATGCCATAGCACCTCCCACACTTCAGTACCCTGAGGACCCAGCCTCCCTCCAGCACATGACCCCAGGGCCAACCCATCAGTGTGTGCAGCAGGGAGAGAGACATGTGCAGGGTCCTTCCTGTAGTGCCAGGCGCCCCAGGATGGGGTGTGTCCCTTCTCACCACTCCTGTCCCTTGCTGGGTGTCTCAAGAGCAGGGCCCATGGGTTGCTGCTGGTCTTAGTGATTCCTACCATGTGGGAGGTGTCCAGTCAACACTTGCTGGGTTAAATCTTTCCCTGGAAGGAAGACCATTTTGCTTTTTCTGGCTGTGTGTGAATAACCTTAGAGTTGAGCGTTGGGGATTGAGTTAGACTTAAGAGTTCAGGGTCTCACTGTAGTTCAGGCTGACTTTGAACTCACTATGTAGCCCAGGCTGACCTCAAACCTGCAGCAATCCTGCTCCAGCCTGTGATTACAGGTGTGCACCACAACATGTGGCTTCCTTAGGGTTTTTAATGGCTTCTTTAGAACCTAATTTCTTAAATTTCAACCCCAGTAGGTATCATCTAGCTGCAGCGTGGACAGTAGAGCCTATGTGATGCTGTGGCACATCTCTTGTGGCCGCCTTCCCTTTACTCTGGTCAGAGCAGTGTGACCTCGACACTGGAGGCTGCAGAAGTAATCTGCAAAACTCCTGAGGACAGAAGTATGTTTGATGGTATTGACAGTTAATTCTCCAGTCGTCTGCCTATGAATAACGAGCCCTCATGTGACTGAAGTGCAGATCGCTTTGTGATTAATTCATTTTTTATGACCTTTCCATTCTATCTCATTTGTAAAAATTACGATTGTGCCAAACAAGCTTGTGAGGTTAATGAAGTGCACAGCTTATTTAAAACCACAAGAGAGTCCCATTAAGAATATTTATCTGTTAAATAATTCTTTACTTAATTACATAATATTTCATAATGTTTCCTTTAAAAGTAACTGTCAGACCTGTTAAATAGAAATAAAAATTGGCAAAATAATTACACAGGGCTCTAATTGGCAGTTACCTCAATTTCACTTGGTCATATGGAAATAAATCTTTAAAAGGAAACTATAGTTCAATCTTGACACTATCAGAGGTTTTTCAAGTTTTACGATACTATTTAAAATATATCTTTTTAAGCCCTGTATTTCTCAAGTAAACATCTGTTTACTGTCTCAGTTGACTTCTCAGGTTTAATATTTTGTTTTTGTTCGGGGAGCCTTGCATTGTTCTCTGTGTGATGAGTATCTGTAATTACGTATATAGTAGTTACTCAGTTAATAGCGTATTGCCACAGAGAGTTTAAAATTTTTTAATGAGAGAAATATAGCTTTAAATTATTAAAATAATTACATACCTAAGGGTTTATGATATCAGATAAAATTTTAATGATACAGTATTGGCTGTATTTCCAATGTGTAAGGGTTGGATCCGAGGTAGTAATTGATCAGAATTCCATTTAATTCATTCTTGGCTACATTAGTACCTAACTGCGAATAAACTCGAGTCACTTCCATCAGACAGATTTGACCCAGACAGTCTTTCTGCTGCCTCCCCTAGGATGGTGGTAGTGGTGGGTGCAGTGTTGCAGGGGTAGGACTGGGCAGGGGACAGGCCTCTGCCCACACTGCGTGGCTGTCACTGTGTCCCTGTGCTTCTGTCTGTCTGTGTTTCCCCTTCTGGTGGAACAGAATGGCAGTTGTAAGCCCTGGGATCCTTCTGAGAGAGCGGGTGGAAGCGGAGATGCAGGAAGCTGGACCCGGGTCACGGTATGGCCCTGTGCTATAGTCTGTGTGTTCACACAAGTGATCCTTTTGGCCTCAAGTTTTCTTTTCCTTCCCTCTGCTGGGGATGGAACCCAGGGCCTTGCACATATGAGGCAGGTGCTCTGCTACTGAGTCACACCTCAGCTTCTTATATTTCAAGTCAGGAACATCCACCAGCTGTGGAAGGCTTGTTCAGGCCGGGCTGCAGGCTCATGGAGAGAGGCGTGGTGCCGGGGTGAAGACACCTGGGTCATGGTGTGTCTGCTCCAGCAGGGGAGAAGGCCGTGACCAGGTCCTTGTGCCACAGAGCCACACACCAGATGTGGCAGGATGTGGGGCTGGGCGGGGTGTCCTTGGGTCCCCAGCAGCCATCACCTGAGGTAGAGGCCAGCTGGGGAGGGAGGGAGGTGGTCTAGGAGACAGAAGACATGCCAGGTTCAAGTGGCTCTCTCTGTAAGCCAAAAACGGCGAACTCCGAGAAATGGCAGATGGTTCACTAACACAAATACTTGGAGCAGAAGGAAATTGGGATTCTTGTTTTGTTTTTGAGACAGCGTCTCACTATGTAGTGTGGGCTGGCCTTGAACTTGAGCCACAACCTCCCAAGTGCCGGGATGACATGTGTGCCTCCACGCTTGCCTTGAGCTTTTTAAGATGGGGAGGGAAATGAGTATCCAGGGTATATGAGAGAGATGGTAAGGCTGAGCTAAGGGTCTGGACACATGTAAAGATTGTTTTCCCCTAGTACTGGGAATGGAGCCTAGGGTCTCTTATTTTGAAACAGGGTCTTACTTAGTTCCCTCAGCTGGGTTTAGACTTGGCCATTCTCCTGCCTCAGCCTCCCAGAGTGCTGGAATTACGGGCCTGCACCACCCTCCCTGACTGTGAGAAGGTGAGTAGACAGCAGGTGAGGTTTGTGCTACATCAAAAGCAGACACACCTGGAAGTTCTGACCAAGACCTAGGAGAGGGAGGAGAAAGTGGCCAACTGTAGGTGCCGTCCTGGGGCTCTCTAGCCCCAGTGACATGTCACAGATGTGCCTGAGTGAGAGCAGTGGTCTGGCAGGTGCAGCTGGGGAAGGGTGGGAGGCCTGGGATGTGACCCATAAGGTGGTGCCTGTCAGACACTGCTGCCTGTAGATGAACAACGGGAAGCACCTTTTGAAATTTAGTAAAATATACAACCAGTGGGTGAAGTTTGTTTTGTTTATTGAAACTACCAATGAGATCACTTGTTGAATTCAGAAGTTTTTTCCCCCTACTGTGCTTTATTTCTTTTGTTAAAAAAGCTACCGTGCTTTGGTTGTGATCAGTGGTATTTGAGTGCTACCAAAGAAGAACTCAGGGTGCAGTCCTGCATGCTGGAGCTAGGCACGTAAATGATAATTAGGAGTCACCTAGCTAGAGAGACAAATGTGAGCTGCAAAGATACAAGTGGCTAATTGGTGTTCTCCACTGACGACATTTTTTGTTTGTTTGTTTTTTTTGGTGCCAGGGATAGAACTTGGGACCTTAGGCTTGTGAGGCAGGCAGTGGAACCACTGGGCTATCCGCGGCTCTGACATCTTTTATCTTAATTAGAATAGTATACTGAACTCACAGCTCTGATTATGTGATCATTTTCTTGAGCTGAATTAGTATGTTTATATTTATTCATTAGGTCTTATGTCCATGATAAACTGTATAGGCAATCAAAACATTATTGCATGATATAATTAGAGCTGTCTGAATTAGAGTTTAAGGAAGTTATTGCCATATTATATGCAACTTAAATATCCCCTAATGGCAAGGATTAATGGAGTTATAAACTTTCTGGTACTGTGCAGTTTATGTCCGGGTTCATTTACAGCTGGGCAACTTGTAAAGGCCCGACAGACACTCTGTTGGGACTTTATGAACAGTGGTGGCATTTCTGGGTAGGCATGTCATCTGCAGTCAAGACTGCATGTGTGCTGAACTTACTGTACCAGCACTGGGACCCATTGCTGCGCCCATGATGTGGCGAAGTGGGTGCTTGGTTTCACACGGGAATAGAATAACAATATTGGTAGGGCTTGGTAACCATACTGTAGGATAGTGAGTTTTTCATGTTTTCTCTCCCATATTGGGCATAGAACCCAGGGCCTTTGCATTGTGCTGTATTCCTAGGAAATAGTTTGAGCTGGGCTCAAACTTGAAATCCTCCTACCTCGGTCTCCCAGAGTACAGAGATTACAGGCTGTTTTCTTCTCCTAAAAGTGGGAGGCCTTTTTTTTAGGTGGTGGAACTGTGGCTGGAACCTAGAGCCTTGCACATGCTAGGCACGTTATTTACCCTTCAGGTACATGCGCAGCCCCAAGGGGTGTACATTACACCATTGCAGTGAGACCTTGAGCTAGGGCCACCAGCCTCACCCATTCAGTCCCTACCCCAGGTGTTCTGGAGGTGGGTGTAATGTTGGCTCCCTGATATTAGGTATCAGCTCCCCTCTTTTGGCCTCTGCAGCCATCCAGGTGATGCAGTGAGAAAGGACCAGTGATGCTCACAACCCTGAGCTGTGACCCCACGA